TTATTTATTGATCAATCAGAACAACTTGACATACAGACCATCCCCCAGCACAGCCAAGTGCAGACCATCTCAGACACCTGCACTCAGGCCCATGGTCCTAATCATCCTCTATGCGGACCTGCTGGGTAGTGCTACAAAGAACCCAAGAAGGGCTCCCACAGGACATACAGAACATCCCACAGCAGCTCAACATCCTTAATCATCAGAGAAATGCAAATCAAAATGACTCTGAGATACCACCTTACACTTGTCAGAGCGGCTATGATCAAAAAACTAATGACAGTCAATGTTGGAGAGCATGTGGAGCAAAGGGAACACACCTCCACTGTTGGTGGGAATGCAAACTTGTACAACCACTGTAGAAATCAGTATGGCAGTTTCTCATATAATTGGGAATCGATCTGTCTCAAGACCCAGCCATACCACTCTTGGGCATATACCCAAAGAATGCTCAATCATACCAAAAAGACACAAGCTCAACTATGTTCGCAGCAGCACTATTTGTAATAACCAGAACCAGGAAACAACCTAGATGCCCGTCAACTGAAGAATGGATTAAGAAAATGTGGTACATATACACAATGGAGTACTACTCAGCAGAGAAAAACAATGACAGCATGAAATTTGCAGGCAAATGGATGGAACTAGAAAAAAAACATCCTGAGTGAGGTTACCCAAACCCAGAAGGACAAACATGGTATGTGCTCACTCATAAGTGGATTCTAGATATAAGGCAAAGAACAATCAGACTGCAACCCACAGAATCATGGAGGCTATATATATATATAGAAGGGGGGACCCTAGGATGATGGTGGTTTATAGTAAGTTTTGGTTTTACTCAATTACTGAGCAAGCCTCAATGAAACATTTCACTATTAAGATAAGAATTTATACTATATCAAGCTGATAATAGAAAAATAATTAAAAACAAACAAACAAAAAAACGAGTTCCAGCATGCCCAGCTACCTGTCTCAGTGAAGTTGCTGTGAGGATGTAGACTGGAATGCAGTAGAATGTGTTTGGCTATGGCTGTTGATTGACATTGTTTCAAACATAGACGCACATACTGTTTTCCCCTCTGCAAATGGAAATCTCTCAGTTTTGGGGTTTATTAAGTGGGATTGTTCTAACAGACAAGGCTAATTGGGGTTGGAGAATATTTTTGATTCGCTGGTTGAATTGGTTTAATACTGAGCCACAGGTAGAGATGGCTGATTAGCTTTGTGTGCATAATGTGTGCACATATGCATGTATGTGTCCCTGCCTGTGTGTGGAGGTCACAGTTGACAATGGGTGCCTTCCTCAGTTGCTCTCCACCTTCTAATTTTTTTCATATTAAAAAGATTTATGCATATGAGAATTTGTCTGCCTGTATGTCTGTGCACCATGTGCATTCAGTGCCCATGTAGGTCAGAAGAGGGTATTGGCTCCCCTGGAACTGGAGTTACAGATGGTTGTGAGCCACTATGGGGGTGCTGGGAACTTGACTGTGGTACTCTGCAGGAGCAGCCAGTGCTCTTTCCAGCCCATACCTTATTTTCAAAAAAGATTTTACTTTTGTGTGTGTGTGTGTGTATGTGTGTGCACAATTTTGTGTGGCTACCCATGGAGACAAGAAGAGGATGCTGGATCTTCTGAAGCTGGAGTTACAGGCAGTTGCAAGCCTCTTACATGGGTCCTGGGAATCAAACTCAGGACCTATGCAAGAGCAGCAAGTGCTCTTAACCAGAGCCAGCTCCCTAGCTCCATCCACTTTTTTTCTTTTCTTTTTTTTTTTTTTTTTTTTTTTTTTTTTTTTTTTTTTTTTTTTTTTTTTTGAGACAGGGTCTGTCACTGGAACCTGTAGCTCAGAGTCAGCAAGGCTAGCCAAGCAGACTGCTCCAAGGACCCAGCTGTCTCTGCCTCCCAGCACTGGGGTTATAGGTGCAAACCACATTAGCTATTTATGTGGGTTCTGGGGCTTGATAACTCCTCATGCATGTGAAGCAAGCAAGCATTTCACAGGCATCTATATCACCTCGGCTCCAATTAGCCTTGTTTTCAAAAGCTGCTCCATTTAGTAAGCTGTGTAAGACTTACTTTCACATTTCCTGAGGAGAAAACTGATGGTCAGGGTCTAAATTTGCAACAGGGTCAAATGGCAGAGCCAATAAGGAAACTAGGGTGTCCTGGATGTCAGTCTAGTGTTCCCTTAGCTCAGGTAGCTGTGACATGGTAAACTGGATGCGTCTCAGGGAGCTTTGGGGTGCTGACAACCATCTGGTCTGAATTGAGGTCAAGGGTTGCAGGTGTTGGAGGCAAAACACATGGAGTGCAGAGCTCAGACCTGCCTGCAGGGGGTACTCTGCAAATGTTGTTCCCTGCCTCCCCTTCCAGGGCCTATTCCTGGTACAGCCTTTACAACCTGGCTGCAAACTGCCCCTGCACCAGTTTAGCGCCCCAGCCTCAGGTTCCAGGTCCCCTTTCTCTTTCATTTCTGTTCCTTACTGTACTTCCCCTGGTCTCCCCGACCTCAGGTCTACCTACCCAGCACCCCGGTCTTCCTGGCTGGCTTGAAGCAGCTCCCCAGTCCTTCCGCCCTCTCCCCTCCCCAGATCTCCCCCGGCACCCCAGCACCCCTGATCTCCCGCGTCTCTCCCGCACTCGGCTCCCACGCACGGCGAACCATCCATACCTTCGCGCCCCAGCCACAGCTTCCCGGGGCGGGGCCTTAAGCTGGTAGCAAGGGCGGGACTTCCGGCGGCGGGAGGAAACCGACAGCAAGCACCCATGGCTTGGTGAGTGTAGTTATGGCGTCGTCCTGCGCTAGAAGGGTTCTTGCTGCATGTGTGCGTGGAGTGGACGGCGGTAGTTGGGAGCTCAGTGGCTCGGGCCGCAGAGGGGCGCTGGCAGCCTCTGTCCCGGGATACTGAACGCGTGTGCACGATGTTTATTCGTGTACAGGCGTGAGTGAGTGAGGTTTTTCTACGTGGAAATAAGTGTGTGGGCTGGGGACATGGCTCAGCGGAGAAAGCTGTGCATGCTTGAGGGCTGGAGTTCTGATGCCCAGGACCCACAGAATGCTGGCCTTGTGTGCTAACCAAATACGACGCCAGTGCTAGGAAGGCGGAGACAGGGGCCCCTGGAGCAAGCAGGCTAGCTATACTGGCTGGTTGGCGACCTTACCGCAATATGTAAGATAGAGAGCAAGCTAGGAAGACATCCCTTGTCAAGTTTGGGTCCCAGTATGCACGCACACACACGTGCACACACATGCATGCATACCGCACATACATGCAAAAAAAAAAAAAAAGGTTGAATTAAGACCTCTAACCTGCCTCTTTGCAATTGTAGTGTTCACTGGCTAACTCCTTTCTTGCCACCAGGTACCCGAAGCTGGTAGGCGTTCCCCTTAAGGTTCAGAGATTCCACACCGCTGCGTGTCGCTACAAAGGCCGGACGGGCGCCGAGCACCTGTGGCTGATGCGCCATCTAAAGGACCCGTTTGTGAAGGCCGCAAAAGCGGAGAGTTACCGCTGCCGCAGCGCCTTCAAGCTCCTGGAGTTGAATGAGAAGCATCACATCCTGCGGCCAGGCCTCCGGGTGCTAGACTGCGGGGCGGCTCCGGGAGCCTGGAGTCAGGTGGCTGTGCAGAGAGTCAACGCCACCGGCGCAGGTGAGGCCTGTGTGTCACTACCAGGAATGATGGTAGCTCTTCACGCAGAAACGTTGTTGGAGCAGCTTTCTAAGCTGACTTGAGGTTATAGAAATGGGACACAGGCTGGGGACCGAGCTCAGTTGCTAAGTTAAACAGGTGTGCTGGCGCAGGCCTAACTTTTGGGAAGTGGAGGCAGGAGGATTAGAAAGTCAAGATCATCCCTGCTACCTAGTGCATTTGCAGTCCAGCACAGGAGATCCCGTCTCTCAGAAGAAAAGGACAAGGGTTGTGGGGAGGGGGAGACGGGATGGAGGTGATGCCGTGGAGGTGTCTTTTCAGCAGTGGTTCTTAACATGTGGGTCTCGACCCCTTTGGGGTCGCATATCAGATATTTACATTATGATTCATAACAGCAGCAAAATTACAGTTATGAAGTAGCAATGAGAGAATTTTATAGTTGGGGGGTCACCACAGCATGAGGAACTGTATTAAAGGGTCGCAGCTTAGTGGATAAAAGGTGCTGGCTGCTAAGCTGGATGGCGTGAGTTCTATTCCCAAGACCTACATCGTGACGAAGAGAATTGACATTCGAAAGTTGTTCTTTGGCCTCCACAAGTGTGCCACTGGCTTGTGCCCCCTTGCATACAAACACACACATGATAAATAAACAAAATGTTCTTTAGAAAATAACCAAGAAGAAAACTAAAAGTAGACCACATGAGTTGGCAGCCAGCCTGGACTCTATACCAAGTCCCTGTCTCTCTCTCTCTCTCTGACAAACACACACACACACACACACACACACACACACACACACACACACAACTAAACAGTAACATTATCTGAGTTTGCTTAGGGGAGGGTTTCTTTCAGCTTACATGAAGGGAAGTCAGAGGCAGGAACTGAAGCAGAGGTTATAGGGGCACTCTGTCCGTCGGTGCACTAGCTTGCTCCTCCAGGCTTGCTCAGCCTGTTTTCTTATGGACTCAGGACCCCCTGCCCCGGGTGGCACTGCTCACAGTGGGCTGGGGCCCTCCCACGTCAATCAAGAGAAATGCCCTATAGGCCACTGGGAGGCATTTTCTCAACTGAGCTTCTTCTTCCCAGGTGACTCTAGCTTGTGTCAGGTTGACTAACCAGGATGAATAGGATATTGACCCTTTCGAAATTAAAAGTCAGAAGTTACAATAAAAAGGAAAATGTATTTTTTTCTCTGTGTAACAGCCCCAGCTATCCTGGAATTCGCTTTGTAGACTAGGCTGGCCTCGAACTCACAGAGTGCTGGGGTTAAAGGTGCGTGCCACCTTTACCTGGCAGGATAATGTATTCTAATTATACTATCTCGATAGAATGTATTATGCCATATCCTGCATTTGAGCTTTGCTGGAGTTTGGGGTTTTTTTTTGTTTTGTTTTTTTCTAGAGGGACATGTTGACAGGTGTGCTGGCTAGTTTTATGTCATCTTGACACAAGTTAAAGTCATCTGAGAAGAGGGAACCTCAGTTGAGAGAATGCCTCCATAAGCTCAGACTCTGCAGCATTTTTTTTTTCCCCAAGACAGGGTTTCTCTGTGTATTTTTTGTTGCCTGTCCTGGGTCTCGCTCTGTTGACCAGGCTGGCCTTGAACTCAAAGAGATCACCTGCCTCTGCCTCGGGAGTGCTGGGATTAAAGGCGTGCACCACCACTGCCCAGCCCCTAGGGCATTTTCTTAAGTAGGATCAATGGGGGAGGGTGCAGCCCATGGTGGGTGGGGTCACCCCTGGGCTGGTGGTCCTGGGTGCTATACAAAAGCAGGCTGAGCAAGCAATGAGGAGCAAGCCAGTAAGCAGCACCCCTCCGCGGTCTCTGCATCAGCTCCTGCCTCCAGGATCCTGCCCTGTTTGAGTTCCTGTTCTGGTTTCTTTCAGTGATGGACAGCGATGTGGAAGTTTAAGCCAAATAAACCCTTTCCTCCCCAGCTTGGTTTTTGGTTATGGTGTTTCATCACATCAATAGAAAACCTAAGACAAGCAGGATTTAGGGACCAGACAGTTAATATGTCCCTGAGGTTCCCAAATTGTGCCCTCAAAGCCTGAGAGTCTTGGAGGTCCCAGTCCCACTGGTGCTGCCACCTCCAGGACCTCAGGAAAGGCCTGCCTGGGGCTGTGGACCCCTCACCATGGGGCTGTGATAAGCTGCAGTGTGTTTATTTTATAGGGACCTAACAATATTCTCTATGTGAAGTGCTGCCCAAATAGGAAAGAAAACAGCCACCTCTGTGACACTGTGTTGGCTGTGGTGGCCACACCTGTGACCCTCATACTCTGGAGGCTGAGGCAGGAGAACCAGGAATTCCAGGCCTGAGTCACACGGTTCTCAAAGAACCAAAAGCCTGAAAGGAAGGGCTGGAGAGAGCATTGCTCTTCCTGAGGACTCAAGTTTGGTTCCCAGCTCACAGCCTCCTCAACTCCAGTTCCAGGCCTTGGACTGTACGGGCACCTGCACTTGATTGTACATCCACACATGCAAACATGCACATGTAAATAAACAATACATCTAGAAACCCAAACAAAACAACAGAGCCTGGTCCCACAGGCTTTTGATTCTAGCACTCTGGAGGCAGAGGCAGCAGTTCAGAGCTTGAGGCCAGCCTGGTCTACATAGTGAGGCTATCTCAAGGAATAAAAAGCAACGTTGGGAGCTGGGTGTGGTGGTACCCAGCTGTAACCTCAAACACTCAGTGTGTTAAGACAGAGGAGCTTAAGTTTTGGGCCAGCCTGGGCTACCTAGTGAGCTTCCCAATTTAGAACCAAAACAGACAAAAATAAAATAAAAAGATGCTTGGAAGCAGAGTCCTAAAGAAGAGGGGCCTGGGATACCGAACTGCCAGCAAAGTGGGCTTTGGTGCCTTGCCTGTGGGTCTACTTCTGCTTGACACTCAGGATGGTCGGGACACCATTTCCTTATAAGTCTCGGCTTCCCCAGCTGTCCCGAGGGGAGGAGAGGACACCCTGTCCCACACAACATGTTTTTAATTTTTTCAACTTTGAGAGATAGGATCTCACTCCGTAGCCCAAATTGGCCTTGAACTTATGACTATCCTCCTGCCTCAGGCTCCCTAATGGGATTATAGGCCTTTGCCATCACATCTACCTCATGTGTCTTCATATTAAAGGTCTCTTGTGCACATACATGCATGTTAGCTGGTTTTCTTGGTCCTGGTGCCTTCCTTTATTTTGTGGCTTGTATTTTGGTGGGGAGATTCATGGTGTAATAATGCATTCTGTTGCTTCCGTAGACTCCAGCTCTCCAGTGGGCTACGTGCTTGGGGTCGATCTTCTTCACATATTCCCTCTGGAAGGAGCAACTTTTCTATGCCCCGCTGATGTGACTGACCCCAGAACTTGCCAGAGAATTCTAGAACTGCTTCCCAGAAGGAGAGCGGACGTGATTCTGAGTGACATGGCACCCAACGCCACTGGGATCCGAGACCTGGATCACGACAGGCTCATCAGCTTGTGCCTTACCCTTGTGGACATGGCCGCGGACATCCTGCATCCCGGGGGGACGCTGCTGTGTAAAACCTGGGCTGGAAGTAAAAGCCACCTGCTACAGAAGAGACTGACCCTGGAATTCCAGAACACAAGGGTCGTGAAGCCAGAGGCCAGCAGGAAGGAGTCTTCAGAGGTGTACTTCTTAGCCACGCAGTACCGGGCAGGCAAGGGCTCCACGAAGCAGTGAGCCCGCCCTGCCCTGCCCTGCCCTGCCCTTCTGGGAGTGCTTTCCTGAGAGCGGCTGCGATCTGAGCTGCACTGCAGATATGATCAGCATATCCACAGTGCACTGCTGGGTTTTTAAAGAGATGAAAGGTGTATTCGAGGGTTGTGAAAAATGATAAAAATGGGGCCACTACGATGGCTCAGTGAGGAACGGGGTTTGCTGCTAAACCTGAGGAGTGCAGTCTCCAGGACCCCTGTAGTGGAAGGTGAGAACCACCTCCTGAGAGCCGTCCTCTGACCCCACGTGACCTCGCGCACACATGCACACAGTCTGAGCAGATGTATTGGCATGGCTGGTTTTGTCAGTTTGACACAAACCTCGCTGTATCTGGGAAGAAAGAATCCAGCTGAGGAATCGCCTCCATCAGATTGGCCCGTGGGCGAGTCTGAGACATTTTCTTGATTAATGATTGATGTGGGAGGGTCCAGC